ATTTGATTATCATTCATTTAGCTGTTCCGTTTTTGTTCATTTATGTAAGAATAAAAAAAATTAAAAAATAAAGTTTATTCTTTAAAGCCCATAAAATGAATTAAGAACACATAAATTTTATCATCCGCGACGTGACGAATACATTTTAATTTACTCAAGAATGCGTACCCTGATACATTAAATCTAATTCCTGTCTTATTTAATTTCACAACTTTGAAAAGGAATGTATGAATAGCTATAAAATGATGAGATGATGTTTTATGGGTTGCTTCCATTTTTTCTGAAATAAATGAATAAATATAATGTTTATAAGTTTTCATATCTTTTATGTTCTTAATAACGAATGGTATAGACCTTTCAACTTCGTCTTCCTTCGGTGCTGTTCTTTCATATGAAACATTATTGGTATCTTCAATAATGAAACCGCAATCACACAAAATTTTATATGTACCAATGGTTTCTTTTGATATTTTATCTAACAAATCAAAAACTTTATCAACACCTGTACATTTATTTAAATAATAATTTGTGTAAATATCATGGTCTTCTTTCTTAATCGTATTAGTTGCATATGTCACATTTTTCAGTGCTTTTTTGAATTTTTCAGAATCAAGAGGAGGTGAAAGTAATATACATGGATAATCTCCATCGTCAATAAATTGTAACTTATGTTTACGTATAAATTTAGTACCTTCTTCTGAAAGTGTTTCATCTATTTCGCCATCTAATAAATTTTGTGTTGATTCTGAGACATAATTTTTATATCTTTCTTCATGAGATTTCTGAACTGCTGATTCTGAAGCTGGGATATTCATTAAACCCTCTACTTCATTTTCATTATATTTTTCAACTTCTCTTAATTCCTTAATTTTTTCATCTATTTCATTTCTTAATTGTTCCAATTTCTCAATCTCATCGTTTATAATATTCATCTTGTTTAATTTTTTCTTCAAAATATTCAGGAGGTGTTTCAAGGCTCTCTGAGCCCAGGTCCTCTGGACCATAAAGAGGAATATTCTCCTGTTTTTCAACTTTTTTGGGATATAAATATCTCATTATAGCCTTTTTAGTAATTAGTCCGTTATATTTAAATTCATTCAACAATCTGGAAAACTCTTTCACATTCTGCATATATGTTGGATAAGAACCGTCTCCAAAATTTTCTAAAATATTTTCTAATTCTGAATTAGTGAACTTTAAAGATTTCAATGAATTAGTTGTTATACTCATTTATTATAAAATAAAATAAAAATAAATTTAACTTAGTTTTAATTTTACGTAAGAAGTCAATTTTTTAAATCTTGATTTATTCAAAAACGTAAGAATAAAAACCGTAAGAATCATACATTTTTTACTTCATATGTTAAAAAAAATGATACAAAATCATTCAATTATGTATGAATTCTTACGTTTACAAAAAAAGTCACACAACCCGTCAACATATACTACTATGTTAATTTTTTTAATGATTTATAAATAAATATATTTTAATGCATCGTCTATATATAGATGTAACAAAAAAAGTCACTAAACCCGTCATATCCTACTACTAATTTATTTTTTCTTAGATATAATTCTATTCATTCAATTCGATCGTCATTTTTCAGTACATGATCGTAATTTTCAATTATTGATCGCGATTTTACTTCAGAATTTGTTCGCAATATTGCTTATCAAAATTATATCTCTATTCTCTCATTTCTGTTTAGTCAATATCATTACACTCCTATTGTCTAATAACATGCTATTAATTTTCTTAAAATTAAAAAAAAAATATCAACTTTTAAAAACAGAAACTTAACATCCTTAGGTCAATGGATTTTGATGTGAGATACATTTAATCTGTTTTTCTTTTTTTATTTTAAATAATTGAATATTTATAGTTGTTATGGGTCTTACATCATGTAAAACGAATTTTCTTAAAGTAAATTTACTTTTTCTTCAATCTTTCTTACATATTTATTAAAAAAAAATTATCCAAAAAAAGATGTTTTAGAATGAAAAAAATAGAAAAATCTTCATTTATAGTCTTTCTTGAATGTATACGTTTTGATTTTTTTCTTTTTTAAAAAATTCAATTTCTAGAAAAATCGAGAAAAAATCATTTTCTTCTATTTTTTAGGACGCCATACCCATTGAAATCTCCTCTCAGGACGCCATAAACTATTCAATTATGGTGTAAACTTCTCAAAAATTGAATAGTTTACATCAGGACGCCTTAGGACGCCAACCCTTTACGCGCCCTATTCTCCTCATAAAAAGTTTTGCAATTTGATTGTTACTTTAGATATTTATGCGAATCATAAAAAGTTACGTTATGTCTTTATTTCAATAGCCAGTAATAACCATTTTTTAATTCGATATTGGATAATTAAAATTCAAAAGTCCATTTTTAAATAAAAAAAAAAAAAAAAAAAAAAAGGTAGTGGGGCTTCCAGGCACTTCGTGCCCTCTAGCCCCGAAGATGTTTAGAATATGAGAGAGGTCCTATAAACCGGAGAAAGTGTCATATAAACATCTGTCATTTTACTCAGAATTTTATACAGAATTCGGCAAAAATATATTTTAGGGTAGAAGGGTATATCTAACCTCTTTTCTAACCTCATTTCTAACCTCTTGAATTTTCATGAATTTTCATGAAATTTACACCAAAAATATATTTTAGGGTAGAAGGTATATCTAACCTCTTTTCTAACCTCTTTTCTACCCTCTTGAATTTTCATGAAATTTACACCAAAAATATATTTTAGGTAGAAGGGTATATCTAACCTCTTTTCTAACCTCTTTTCTACCCTCTTGAATTTTCATGAAATTTACACCAAAAATATATTTTAGGGTAGAAGGGTATATCTAACCTCTTTTCTAACCTCTTTTCTACCCTCTTGAATTTTCATGAAATTTACACCAAAAATATACTACTAGGGTCATTTACGAAGAAATCTCAACAAAGTCTTTACGATGAAGTCTTGACAAAGTCTTTACGAAGAAGTCTCAACAAAGTCTTTACGAAGAAGTCTCAACAAAGTCTTTACGAAGAAGTCTCAACAAAGTCTTTACGAAGAAGTCTTAACAAAGTCTTTACGAAGAAATTCATGAAAATTCAAGAGGGTAGAAAAGAGGTTAGAAAAGAGGTTAGATATACCCTTCTACCCTAAAATATATTTTTGGGTCATTTACGAAGAAGTCTCAACAAAGTCTTTACGAAGAAGTCTCAACAAAGTCTTTACGAAGAAGTCTCAACAAAGTCTTTACGAAGAAATTCATGAAAATTCAAGAGGGTAGAAATGAGGTTAGAAAAGAGGTTAGATATACCCTTCTACCCTAAAATATATTTTTGGGTCATTTACACTCATTTACGAAGAAATCTCAACAAAGTCTTTACGAAGAAGTCACAATAAAACATCTGTCAAAAACCGCTTTTTAACTTCACTTAAAATGCCACGTAAGCTACGTAAGAATATACGTAAGAGGAAGAGAGCATTGAAACATCCAATAGTAAAACTGACACCACAACAACAGTTGCAACAACAAATGCTGAATGACCCCACTATGTTGCAACAAATGTCAAGCAACCCTATGCTTTTAAACCGAGTTATTGGTGCACAGAGTGGAGGTTTAAGAGCGGCACTTTTAGCGAAAATGGCAGGCTATGGTGAGCTGCAGACGGAACAGCCTATAACCCTCAAAGTCAAATGAATTTGAGTTCACTCAAAAATCAAATAACAGATGTCAAAAGTCAAACATAGACATACAGAAACAAATAAGTGAAAACGAAAAGAAACTAGAATATGACAGACACACAAAGAAACTCAATGAGTTAAACGTAGAGAAAAAGAAGAAAGAAGAACAACTGAAAGAACTAAGTACAGAGGAATATGCGAAAAAAGTGTCAGAAAAAGCAGCAGAAGTAGCAAAAATGGAACAAGATGTTATAAATTTGAAAAACCATACTACTCAATATAAAATACTGAAAGATGAAGAGATAAAACAAAAAGCCCTGAAGACATATATGGATAGCGATGAGTATAAAAAAGAAGTTGAAGCAAATGTAAAGGCAGAAAAACTTTTACAGTTGCAAAACCAAACCGTACAGTATGAAAACTTAGCACAAGAAAGTAAAAATAACGACGCAGCCATGCAAAAGGCAATGAAAAGCGCAGAATATATAAAAGCTAACAATGACTGGTTAGATGCCCAAGCCAACGCTAAAGCAGCCCAACTCATAGGGTCAATAAGGACAAAAATACAAGCGGATGAAGACAGTTCAAATGAAGCTTTAACAAATGCTGACTTTAAGAACGCCTTCGAAGCTCTTCATAGTAAGGTGAAAACTAGTGAACGACTTCTCATCTGGAAAGAAACTGAAGTCTGAAGGTTTCGACAACGAGTTAAGAGAAGTAGCACAAAATATGACGAAAATAACAGATGCAGCAACGAGACAGGCAGTTCAAAGTGCCTATGACGCCGTTAGAGCAACTGTTGTGGAAAGTCAAGAAAAAGAGTTACAACAGACCAAAACAGACCTAGTAAATGCTTTCTTAAGAACGAAAAGTCAGGTAGGACATTATGCTGCAGATGGAACATATGTGCCAGCTGGTGGAACTTATATACCACCAAACCCTCCAAGAGAAGCACCTGCACCAGGACTACCTAAAACATTTACATCGTCACATGGACACAGACACAGGCATGCACCAAAACCAACACAACAACCAACACAACAACCAACACAACAACCAGCACAACAACCAACACAACAACCAGCACAGCAACCAACAGTTCAAAACCCTGCACAACAACCAACAGTTCAAAACCCTGCACAACAACAACCACAAACAGAGCAAGGACATAAAAGAAGTAGAGAACAAGGAAACCAAGAATTCTTAAAAATGCTTAAAGAAGAGTGTGGTTTCCCAGATACTGTTGACTTTAGTGACAGATATAAAGAAGCTATTGGAAAGTTCAAGGATGGAAATACTGACCCGAACCTATTTAGCTTTATGGCTCAGCACCAAAACGGATATAATCTCAAACCTGGAAAATACAAGCTCGCTAAGGGATATGATTTAATAGCATATCATCCAAATGACATGGATGAATTTACTCCGAGATATTTGATGTCAGAGCTAAATGACAATTCAACTTTCGTCATGAAACGCGTAAAAAATAGAGACGGAACGAAAGAACAAAAGCTTATGAATGCGGATGACGTAGATAGGGAAATTGTTGAAAACGGTCTCGGAATATATGAAATGCCAGCAGATGAGGTACAAGAAACTCCACAGGAAGAAGTTCAGATACAACCAGACATGGAAGAAATAGTTCAGCAACAACAGCTAGAAGAGCCTGAAGGAAACGAACAAGTCCTTCCTTTGGAAACTAACTTCACAGAACTAGATGAAGATTTGGAACAGCCGAAAAATCTTGACCCTCAACAAGAGCATGAGGTGAATATGGAATCTTTCCAAGAGTCTAAGAAAGATTCGGCTGACATAGTAGAAGAATATCGAAAAATGTTTGCCGACATACAAAAGACTCCAACACCAGATGAAAATATTCAGCATAGAATGAAAGTACTGAAAGAAAATGTACACAAATACAACAACCCTTTTTACTTACGAGCATTTAACGTTCAATCTTCGGATGAACTCGGTGAAAATAAAAGGTTAAATTTCAAGAAAACATATAGAAATGAAACATTGTTTAAAGTTCATTCAGAACCTAACCAAGATGGAAACAAACCTACTTTTGTTTCTGCAGACGATGGAACTACAATGAGATGGGGTCATAAAGCTAACCCGGATAGGTGGGTTCATAAACTTACAACCACAATTCCAAGAAGTTGTAGACGCAATGGAAGTCAATGGTGAACAAGATATAGCTGGTATTTTAAGCGCGGCTTTAATGCCATTGAAAGATATGAAACATGCAGATATTTTGGACCAGTATGAAATGAACATGGCTGATGGAAATATAACACCTGACGTTCTAGAACATTTATCTCAAAGAACTACACAGAACCATAGAGATGGTATATTTGGTGAAGAGTTTAGAAAGAAAGTTAGGGAGGGAGAAGGAAGAGAACCTATTGTACATGACCTTGCAAACGAAAGTTTACAAAATGTCATAAAAACTTACTTTGCAGACAATGAACCGAGAAGGGATGAATATTTAAGAAAACTCAAATGGACAGTAACCAAAGATGAAATGTTAGTATTGAAAAAACATGTTCCTTGACAAAATAAAACCAACTACAGAAATAAACGACGCAAGACTGAAGAGATTGGGTTAAAAGCTTTCCCATTCACAAAAGATATAGTTGGTAACATGGAAAGAAAACCAGATGGCTACAAAAACATATATTTGGAAAACGAGCTTATTCCATATGGACAGGCACTGTTTGAAGCGCTTGAACCGGAAACTCAGGAAAGAGTCATGCAAACAATACGCGAAGACTCAAATACAGACTATGACAAACTCTTTCTAGGATATAGGTTACCTGAGATGGGCGACCAGAGCCAAAGGCAAAAAGGGCATGGAAAATTTGCAACATACTAGATGAACATGAGCAAAGATGCAACAACTTGAAGCAGAGGGCAATGAAGGAAAAAGAAGAGTTAAAAACTCAGTCAGGAAGAAAGTAAAGCTTGGTCCACGTGGGTTCTATTATGACATATAAATCCAACTATTCTATATTTTTACACATATGAAATGTACGCCGCTCAGAATATAACGCCAACAGTTTTGGATGCTATGAATGGAAATGTTTCCGAATGGTATAACGAATGCGACAATGCCATTAGAAGGTCAGAAATAGTTCCTGGAACTTACGAATATACAACTGCTGTTTCTTATGGAAACGTAGGTGAGTTTGGAGAAGGTTCTTCAACAACAGTAGATATTGCTTGCGACAGGTTTCATATTAATTTCTATTGACAACTCTTTCTTATACGTGAACAAGACATTGAAATAAAACCTTCTGCCAAGTTGTCTGACAAGAAAGGTTGCAATGGAATTTTCTATGTCGGATACCAATATGCTCCAGAAGTTTTCATGGGATATAAGATATATTCTAACTCTGACTTAGTTCAAACAGTAACATGGGCAAACTATGAATGGTTCGCTTTGAGAAACTCAGTACAACCACAAGCTAGAGAACAAACAGACCAGTATGCAACTATTGAGAAAATAAGAGACTTGACCCTAACGTTCCAGGAGTTTATGTTAACCTTTCTGGACAAAATGCAGCAGCAGTAACCAAAGTAAAACTGAAAACTTAGAGTTCCTTTGTCATCTTTCCTCATCTTCAGGTTTTTAAGATACTTGCCAAACTGGGCAGGAAAAATTTCTATCGAACTTACTCCAAGCAAAAATAACTTAGTCATTGCACCAACACAAGACCCATTCACTCTTACAGACGTAAAGGGAGCAAATCAAAACGTCATTCGCCGACTTTTGCAAAGACAAAGTTGACTTAGACTTTGGTTTCTCAAACCTCAACACTGAAGTAAACTATTATTTCAATGCTGCTGGAACTGCTTGGGACCCAGTTAAGTTCACATGCGAAAAGTTTGAATGCAAGAGAATAGAAAGCAGACTTGCAGTCTATATGTTGGACCCAGATATTTCAAATGCTTTAGCTGCCAAATATATTGCAGTTCCACTTATGTTCCCTATACACCAAATATCTGTCAAAGACTTTGCAGGTGAAGTTGGAAACCAAAGTGCTGACCCAGGTGCAAGAACAGATATTGCTTTAACAACTGCAATGAAACATGCAGATACTATGTTTGTACTGTTCAGACGAACTATAAATGACTATTCTTGTTTCTACAACCCTGGTATTAAATATCATATAAACATAGATGGCAAATATTATCCAAGAGAAGAATATTCTACAGTTGAAGATATGAGGTCATACAACTTGACATTAGATGCTATGAACTTTAACAACAACTTCACAACAACCATTAACCCTGAAATGCAAAGTTCTATTATGCCATATGTGAAAGTATGGACTCATACAGGAGGTCAAAAAACTCAATATACAAATGGAGACCGTTCAAACTTTTGGCTTGGCATTCCATTTGCTGACTCAGAAGACTTTATGGGTGGTATTTCAACTGTTGGTACAGTTCAAATACAATATACTGGTGACAGAGACGGTCCAGATGAACTGAGAGCAAAGAAGTTTACAAAACCAATAGCACTTTTCACGGAAGATGCTCTTTTGAAGATTCGTTCGATGAAACCTGCTGGAGCTCCTCAGATTGGCATAACGACAGCTTCCATCGAGCAGATTTTGGCAGCAGGTCAGTAAGTTGTTCTTGAACTGACTTCTCTCCGTCAAATATTGACAGTACGCCAGTTTTGATATAATATTGTATTAAAAACTTACCTTTAGAAATATCGGTCAGTTTTGTTGTTATATTTTTGTCAACGTCAAGAACTTTCACCATCTCGGTTATACCAACTTTCTTTGCTTTATGAAAATATTTTGGTTCAGCAAAGACTGCTATTCTATAACATTTTCCATTGTTTGTATAAAGAACTATTCTGTCAATGTATTTGTATTGTTTGTGTGTGTAAACTTTGTTTTGCTTCAATTCGAAGAGATACTCAAATACGTCCATCTTTTTATTCTAAGTAAAATGTCATTTCCGAAAAATAGAAGCGTAAGTGTTTCAAAAGGTTTAATGGCGATGGCAGATGTGAAGTTAAATTCACCAACTCAAACAAACAGTCAAAGTGTTGTTGTCAATGTCAAAGAAAGAGATGTTGAAGTGGGGAAACCATACGAAGACGAAGATGGTATAGCAATTGTTCCTGTAAAAGAACAACCAACATATCCTGAAGTTAGCAGAGACTTAAGTTCTGTTGCAGATATTCGAAACGACTACCAACAACTTAAAGACAAACTTAAAACTCAGGAGAAGATTTGTCAAGCTTTGGGTATAATGTTAAACTTGGTCGAACACAACCCTGTAAAAGTGAACTCATATGTCATTGCACCTCATGAAGTTTTGAAAGAACTATTGAAACTTTTGACAGAGGCAGACGATATAAACATCAAAGAAATAGAACCCGACATTGCTTGCTGTGGTGTTTCATATAATGTCATTGACAAGATATACGTTATGAAAGGAGGTGAAACGTTGAACTTAAAGTATAGTTTCCCAGACATCATAAAAATATTTGACGACCACAACATTTCATTAAAATTTATTTGCTAAGTAAATGGCAGAAGACACAATGGTTTATACTATTACGACTAAAAACCCTGAGTCATATAATTCTATAACAACAAACTTACAAAGTCCTCAAGGACGATATTGTAAACTAACCTTAAACACAATGACGACTAAAGCCTGTTTTGCTCTTTTGACACCAGAAGACTTTATTGTTGTGAATGGTAAAAAATACTCCTTTGAAGATACTTACTCAGATATACCACCAACAGGTTTTGTTGACTTATTTAATACTTTAAGGACGAGTGTAACATGTGCTGCAACTAGAGCAGGTTTCATTATGTTTGGATGTCCGACTGAGTTTACTATAAACAATATGAGCTATAATACAAAACTTATATCTGGTTTTTACTACCAACAGTTTCCTATAACAGGAAAAGGTGTCATACAAGGAATGTCTGTTCCATTGACTTTAAGCACACCTATTTTATATATTGTTTCAAACTTAGGTTCAAAGTGTTATTCGAATGTCGACAGAAACTATTATGACCAAAAGATACTTATGCGTATAAATAACACATTCTCTGCTGGTTTGCCTATTGTTCATTCGAATGCAGAGTTTTCAGCTTTAGTAAACTCAAACACTTTAGCAAACATAAACTTAACCTTAGTTGACGCAAACTTTGTTCCTGTAAAACTTTTATGTCCTATGTATTTGTCAATGACGGCAGAAAGTTTCGAATTGGAAGATGCAACTGGTGAAAGTATTGTACTACAAGAACAACTTCAACAACAAATAGCTCAAGAACAACAAATGCAACAAATGCAACAACAAAGTCAAGAATAAAAAAAATATTTTTTTTATTTTTATAAAAATGTACAGAATAGATGTTTCAGATTTTTATGACTTCCAAGCATTCAGAAATATGTGTCCATTTAGAGACTATAACAAAGCAGTCGAGAATTTGAAACGTTTAGTCATTTATGTCGACTCTGCCCCAGAATGTTATGTCATGAAAGAATGGGATGTTGTCTTTAACAAACCAAGAGCAACAATAGTTTCAGAACAAGAATGTAGACAGAAACTTAAGAAAATAAAAGTCGTACAAGTTGGCATGAAGATGTTAGATGCTTGGGATATCTTATTGTCAAAACTTGAAGATTTTTCAGTTCGTGGTATAAAGTTTTATACACCTTCTCCAAACTTCTATTCTATCTTCACTGGATATAAATATGAACAAGTAGAATGGAAAGAAAATATTATAGAAGCTTGGTTAGACCATGTCAAAGAAATTATATGCAATGGAAACGAAAGAGTCTATGAGTATATCTTATGTTGGTTTGCAAACATCTTACAACATCCAAGTGCTAAAAATGAAACTGCTCTCATTATAATTGGAAAACAAGGAACTGGTAAGAATACTTTCTTTACAGATATTTTGTGCAAACTGTTAGAAGGTTATTCGAATCCGAATATGACAAACTTAGAAAACATCTGTGGCAAGTTTAACTCTTCAATTGAGAATATGAAACTTATAGTTTGCAATGAACTTCAAAGTATAGATACAACAAAAGTTTTGAACTCAGATGCTTTGAAGAGTCTTATAACAGACAAAGTTGGAGTTGTTGAAAGAAAATATAAAGACCAAAGAGTTTGTGAAAATGTTGCAAACTTCATTATGGTTTCAAACAATACTGTTCCGATGAAGTTAGAAAGTTCTGACAGAAGATATGTAGTTGTCAGAACGTCAGATTCTCATATGCAAGATACAGAATATTTTGACGACTTAGCAGAAACTTTGACATCTGACTTTTACAACCACTTGTTCTCATATTTTATGACATTAGATATTTCTAAGTTCAATCCAAGACAAATTCCACATACCGAAGAGAGACAAACATTGTTAGAAGCAAACAAGAGTGTATATGAACTGTTCATAGATGAAACTGACTTTGTGTCATTAGATGAAAGGTCATTATATGATGAATATAAACAATATTGTCAAGAATATGGTTATATGGCAGCTTCTAAACGAACATTCTTGGCAAATGTCAAAAATCTTTTAGATGTTCAGAACGGCGTATATACAAAGAAAAATTTTTCTGAGTAAATTTTAAAAAAAATATATATTTTTATCCGATAGAAAAGATGGCAAAATTCATCTCAGTAAATAAGTACATGTCAGGACTTAAAGAAGAACTAGACCCATTCGCTTATTTGAATGTTTACTTCTACAATTTTGAAAAGTCTACATTTGACAAAGTTTGGAACATCGAACCAGTTAAGTTTGCTGTTGTTAGAAAAAGTGGTGCAACTTTTGAAGACTTAGACATAGAAGGTTTGTTAGCAGTCAAAGAAAATTTTGACAGAAAGTTCTCAAAACTCGAAGAAGGTAAAGCATACAAACTTGTTATACCTTATGAACCAAAGAAAGCAGACGACTATGAATATTATGAGTCTAAGATAGTTGAAGTTCAAGGTAAATTGGGTAAAAAGATTTTAGAGTCTAAGCCAGTGTTTGCTCCTAAAGAGGAAGAGAACATTGACATTGACCCAGAAATGTTCTAAAAATAAAATTTTATTTTTACATGTCAAATTTCTTTTTCTCTGGAACTGGTTCAGGTTCTTTCTTCTCTTCTTCTACTTTCTTTTCTTTCTTTTCTTTCTTTTCTTTCTTTTCTCTCTTCTTCTTCTTCTCTGGTGGAGTTATGTCAAATTTGGCGCAACCATATTTATGTAAAAGTTCTTTGTCCTTTAATAGCTCATCTATTCTGTTTTCTATTTCATCTTCAAGAACAGCGCATGTGTCTTCTTTGCATTCTAAGAACTTTTGTTGGACTTCATCTTTCCAATCGGCGTCATCTCTGTCAACAAGTCTGTCATTGACAAATTTTAAGACTGCTCTTTGTAATGTTTTATGGTTCTTGTCATATTCCCAGAAACAGAACTTTAGAACAAATTCACCTTTCTTGTTTACACTATGTAAGATTTTATGGTCGACAGAAGTTTTAGAGTCAAAAAGCTTGTCTCGAATATAGATAGCGAAATCACTAGACATTTTCTAAAAGATAAAAATTTTAATTTTTCTAAAAATATGTTAGAAAAAAAGTTTGCTGACATTGACAAGAAATTTGAGAATGTTTTGAAGAAGAACAAGAGGAAGTTAGAAAATGCTCAGATAAAGCCTATACATGAAAAGTTCTTATTTGCTCAGAATGGTATAACAGGTCTAATCGCACCACCTGGGTCGGGTAAGACTTTCACTTATCTTAAAATGGCTGCACAACAACAAGAACTAGATGAGAAGAACCCATTCTATGAGTTAGTTGTTATTTGTTCGACTTCTGGTCAATTTGACCAAACCGTCAATTCGTTCAAAGATATTATAAAGAAGTCTAAGTTAGTATGTATAAAAGACTCTGAGTTGTTAGATTGGATAAAGAAGTACCAAAGAAGAGTTTTGAAGTACAATGCTATAAATGAGTATATAAATTCGAAGTTTAAAGACCCAAATGAGGAAATGCAGAGAATATTAGAGAAGAAACACTTCAGAAACAAACAGAAAGAGATAGAATACATTTCGAAGAAATTGCAATCTTACGATTGGAAGACATACCCTCATAGGTGTCTTCTTATCTTAGATGATTTCGCCTCTCATCCTTTGCTTAAGAACAGAGAACAAGATATGTGTCGAATTCTTAAGAAGCTCAGACACTTTAACATCTCAGTTGTCATTTGTGTACAGACAGCCAAGAGTTTAAGTAAGGATGTAAAGAGAATACTTACTGATATCATACTTTTCCCCGGATTGTCCGAAGACGATTTCATGGAACTTATGAAAGAGTCCATGGCAGGTAAGTTTGACAGACATGAACTATGGGAGAAGTACAAAGTCATACAAGACCCTCATACTTCTTTCAGAATTCATATCTACGCGAACAAAGTTCAAATTGTAAAAAGTCAATAAAAATAAATGGTTCATTTACTCTGCTTGTTTGAAGTTGTCAAAATACTCTGTTATTTTTTCCTTCAGTAGCGGTAAGTCTTCTTTGAAGGTAAGAATTGTACAACCTTTCATATCATAGTGTGTTTGAGGTAACGTATCTTGAACTATTTGTTTCACATCTTCATTCGGTGTCATTGAAATCGGTAAGTTTTCGCGATAGAACCAATTTCTGTCAGATTTGTAAATCTTAGCAAGGTCGTAAAAGCTTTTGTTGTTTCTTCTGACTAAATGCAACATAACCATATCTCTGTCTTCTTCATTTTCCATCTCTTCAGTATAAATCATATACTTATAGTTCTTTTCCTTTCCTTTTGGTACCGAACGTGGTATTCTTTTCTGAATGCTTTTGTCTTTTGCTTCAATGACTTCATCTTTTGCTTGAAGTTTCTTTTCCATCTCTTCACGTTCTTGTCTATGAATTTCATCTAACATCATGAAAATATAACAAGCGTAACGAGGTGAAGCCCACATTGCTACAGCATTTACAAGAAGTCTATGTACATACCAGCCTCTCAAACCAGGAGCCAAATTCTTGCGATTTTCGTACGGAATCTCTACCCGCGGTTTTCCGCGGGTAGCAAACATATGAGGAAATTCTTCTAAAAGTTCTTTTGTCTGTTGGTTTTCAAACCAATGATGTGCTTGCTTTGTAGAACGAAGAGCATTCAAAATACTTTGCATTTGGTACATGTCGTCTTTGACCGAACGAATGAGACGTAACTGTTTGTTATATTGTATGTACTCATATTCTTCATTTATAGCTTCATGAACGATAGCAGTTGTTGTGTTCTCTGTTGTTGACATATCTGTCTTTACATACAAAATAAAAAAAATATTTTTTTAAAAATTAGCGTTATTTTTTTTAAGTTTGGTCATCCTTCACTATATGACAAATATACTATATTTTACTTAAAAATATGCAAGCGGCTCATAGCTCAGTGGTATGGGCTACCTCGCTACAGGCGTCGAAGACCTCGGTTCAAATCCCGATTCGCGCAGGTTTTTTCCTTTTATGCAGTGAAATTTCATGTACATAGGTTACTTTGGTGTTAGACCCTAGTGAAGAAAATAGAACGATATAAGTTTACATTTGTAAGGCTACTTTGGTGTTAGACCCTAGTGAAGAAAATAGAACTATATAAGTTTACATTTGTAAGGTTGGACGATAAAATTTACTGACTGACGTCGGACATTGTCTTGAAAAAGTAAAAGACTTGTCTTGAAAAAGTAAAAGACTTGTCTTGAAAAAGTAAAAGACTTGTCTTGAAAAAGTAAAAGACTTGTCTTGAAAAAGTAAAAGACTTGTCTTGAAAAAGTACGGGTATCGTCTGAAATCAAGACCACTGTTCTCAAATTTGAGAACTTGACACCAAAAAATTTCTTGAAAAAGTCAAAGACTTGTCTTGAAAAAGTCAAAGACTTGTCTTGAAAAAGTAAAAGACTTGTCTTGAAAAAGTAAAAGACTTGTCTTGAAAAAGTAAAAGACTTGTCTTGAAAAAGTAAAAGACTTGTCTTGAAAAAGTAAAAGACTTGTCTTGAAAAAGTCAAAGACTTGTCTTGAAAAAGTAAAAGACTTGTCTTGAAAAAGTAAAAGACTTGTCTTGAAAAAGTCAAAGACTTGTCTTGAAAAAGTCAAAGACTTGTCTTGAAAAAGTCAAAGACTTGTCTTGAAAAAGTAAAAGACTTGTCTTGAAAAAGTAAAAGACTTGTCTTGAAAAAGTAAAAGACTTGTCTTGAAAAAGTAAAAGACTTGTCTTGAAAAAGTAAAAGACTTGTCTTGAAAAAGTAAAAGACTTGTCTTGAAACAATGACCGACATAGACCCAGCAGATGAGGCAATCTACCTTATAGAGATAAATGAGCTAGTTAGGAACTACCTGAGCCATCTGAAGTCAAGCGTAAAAAATAAACGCTTTACATGTATTTTTCAGCAACTTCGTCAAATAATTTTATAGCTTTACCTATCTCATCTACTTCAAAACGTTTCTTTACCTTTCGTGGGAGCACCATACATTTTCTCAAACTTTTCAAGTAGTTCTGTTTCAGCAGCTCTCATATCGTTAACAAACACAACCTTAACTCTATTGACTATACTGTCATATCTTTGAGTTATATTATTGTTCTTCCTATCTTATATCTCTTTGTATTGAAGTCCTTCGGTTTCTGAACGATGTAAAGTAAGCCTTCACTGCAACGTTCTGAGTCGAACGAACCATATGTTATGAAGTTATATCCAACAACTGGGTCTAACCATAACAAAACTATTGGTATAAGACTTTTGTCGATGAGATATGCTGTAGTTCCATAGAATCTTACCGATATTATAAGCTCAGGATTTCTTGTCAAAATTTTCTGAGTAGAAGCAATTCTAACCCAGTCCTTCGGTCTCTTTCCAGATGGAGATAAAATGTCTGACAAAGAATATTTGTTGTATTTCTTTGAGTATCTTACGTTTAAATCACCAATTCTAACCAATTTAGTGTTATTGTCTATCTTTTTAACTGTTTCAAACTCAGTGTTTGTCATTTCTGTTCTTACATACAAAATAAAAAAATATTTTTTTAAAAAAACTAACTTTATTTTTTCTATCTTAAGGAAATTCATGATTTTTGTTGCTGAATTCAGTAAAAATATATTTTAGGGTAGAATGTTAGATCTAACATGTTTTCTAACATGTTTTCTAACCTCATGAATTTTCATGATTTCTTCGTAAATGTTTTGTCATGATTTCATCGTACATGTTTTGTCAAGACTTCTTCGTAAATGTTTTGTCAAGACTTCTTCTTCGTAATGAGCGTAAATCAGACAAAAATATATTTTATGTTAGAATGTTAGATTTAACATGTTTTCTAACCTCTTTTCTAACATGTTAGAAAACACACAAAACTCATGAAATTTCATACGGAATTCAATAAAAATATATTTTAGGGTAGAAGGTTAGATCTAACCTCATTTCTAACCTCTTTTCTAACCTCTTTTCTAACATGGTCTAAAACACACAAAACTCATGAAATTTCATACAGAATTCAGCAAAAATAATGTTTAGGGTAGAAGGTTAGATCTAACCTCTTTTCTAACCTCTTTTCTACCCCAGTTATTTTATAAGCGTTTTACATGGTAAACGTTATGAATTCGTGAGACTCTAAACAGTTTTGTGGCTTCTATTTCTTCGCTGAGGATATCGAATGTTTTAACTATGCCGAAAGTTTCTTTATATTTCTTCTTGACATCAGATAGAAGGAAATCTTCTGCTGTTGGATAGTTTTTGTTCAGAAATGCTAACATGTCCATTTTATTTTCTGCTGGTTTCTCTGCTTCTTTCTTTAAATCTGCATAGTCGTTTCTCATTCTTTCTATCTCTTTGACGGAGTAGTTATATCTCCTCATTGCTGCTTTACATTTTGAACATTGCGGGTTCATTTTTGCGTTATATTCTGAAACCTTACCTGCTAAAACAACTAAAGCGTCAATTGCTCTCTTCATCTCAAACATAGCGGGTCTTATCTGTTCATTCCATACCTTACCTCTTCTATCTTTATCTCTTATCTGCCATACACATTCAGCAACTAACGAAACAAAGTTGTCGTATGTCTTAAACTCCCCAGATTTATATATGTCAGAGATGTTCTTATATAACATGTCGCAATCTTTGTCCATAACCTTATGGTTGCAATGAAAACCAAGGAATTCATAATTTACCTTTCGTATGAACTTCTTTATTTCTACTGAGTCAGTTGCTTTGACTTCAATTTCGTCGAATTCAGGAATAGTGAGTTTTTGTTGTTGGATTTCAGGTAGTTTAGGCAAATGGTCAATAATGTCCTGCATTTCATAAAGATACTGTTCATTTGTTTCATCTTTCGCACTACAGTCTAAATTACTTGTTAAAAGTTCTTGCTTTATCTTCTGGATTTCTGTTTCGAAAGTATATGAAGAAGGAATGAAGCTTTTCATCTCTACTAACATAGATGTTGGATTCATAACTAACGAGTTTGGTGCTGTAGTTGCTAACATGTTCTTACAATAAAAATAAAAAATATTTTTTAAATAAAACTAACTTTATTTTTTTTTATCTTAAGGAAATTCATGAAAATTCACGAGGGTAGAAATGAGGGTAGAAAACAGGTTAGATCTAACCTTCTACCCTAAAATATATTTTTATTGAATTCAAGAGTTTTGGTTGAAAGAATACGGTGGAGCCAAAAGTGGCTCGACCTCAAAACAAGCATTTTGTGAAGAATATACCAACCGCCAGAATACAGACGGTTGGTTTTTATACAAAATTCAACGGGTGAGAAAACGGGGTAGAAATGAGGTTAGATCTAACCATCTACCCTAAAATATATTTTTATTGAATTCAGCAACAAAATTCAAGAGTTTTGTGTGTTTTCTACGAGGGTAGAAAACGGGGTAGAAATGAGGTTAGATCTAACCATCTACCCTAAAATATATTTTTTGGTGGTACGTCGGACATTGTCTTGAAAAAGTAAAAGACTTGTCTTGAAAAAGTAAAAGACTTGTCTTGAAAAAGTAAAAGACTTGTCTTGAAAAAGTAAAAGACTTGTCTTGAAAAAGTAAAAGACTTGTCTTGAAAAAGTAAAAGACTTGTCTTGAAAAAGTAAAAGACTTGTCTTGAAAAAGTAAAAGACTTGTCTTGAAAAAGTGAAAGACTTGTCTTGAAAAAGTACGGGTATCGTCTTCAATCAAGACCACTGTTCTCAAATTTGAGAACTTTACACCAAAAATTTCTTGAAAAATAACGGGTCTTGTCTTGAAAAAGTAAAAGACTTGTCTTGAAAAAGTAAAAGACTTGTCTTGAAAAAGTAAAAGACTTGTCTTGAAAAAGTAAAAGACTTGTCTTGAAAAAGTAAAAGACTTGTCTTGAAACAATAAAAGACTTGTCTTGAAAAAGTAAAAGACTTGTCTTGAAACAATAAAAGATTTGTCTTGAAAAAGTAAAAGACTTGTCTTGAAACAATGGACAACATCGAGCCATTAGATGAGGATACAACTTCCAAACAGAGAGAACCCTTTCCCAAGAATGAACCAAATTCTCAGAGCACTGTTCCACTTCTCGGGTCAGCCGTTCTACATAACCTCAGAAGGCGACATCCAACCAGTTCAGTAAACATCTCATTTTAACTCACTTTTTTTCTGTCTTAAGGAAATTCATGAAAATTCAAGAGGGTAGAAATAAGGTTAGAAAACAGGTTAGATCTAACCATCTACCCTAAAATATATTTTTCAGTACTTTTTCAGCACTTTTCCGTAGTTATATATGAAAGACAATTCGAGATAAAAGTCATAGTACAATGGAATAATATGCTGCACACCGTTTGTTGTGAACCAAACTTGAAAGTCAGAGAAACTGTTACTAGGTGGTTCGTAGAATTTAGAAGCAAAGTCATAAAAGTCCTTACCAATACATAGAAAACTGTTGTTGCTTGAACTGAAACTTGCATGACACATAACATTTTGAGGGTCAAACACGTTTCTATAAACTGTCAAATCTGTTGGTGGAAGTATAAATTTAAATGGACCATCTGGTGGTAATGGTTCGTTCTGGTTTAGTAACCGAAGAAATTG